CAACAGAGAATATTGTTTATTTATATATTTATAAATCTTCTTCCATTTTACCATCATCTTTTTTACAACATTTATCCATCATTTCAATGAAAGCAGTAATATTATTAGTGAAATCTTCATGAGGTTTCCAAGTAAATTCCATTGTTAAGTTAGTTATGAATAAAGGAATTCCACAATTTCCATTATCTAAATCGAAGGTTTCACCGAGATTTTCTGGATGATTGGTTCCGGTGGTTTTTTTGAATTTATACATCCAGTCCATATAATCCATTATGATAACGAACGCGTAATTTCCTTTATCAAATGTTTTTGCATCATTTTCATCAATTTCTAATTTACAGACTTTCAATTTACCAAAGTCAATACAGAACTCGAACACATGATTTTGAAACATACATCCTTCACATCCTATTTTTTCGGTATATTCCATTATAGGGTTTATATATTCTCGAAATTGAATATCTTTAAAATCTCTATCTAAAAGTATATCTCCGATTCCTGGGTCAGGTTGAACTGCTATTTCTTTGTCACAAATTTCGATGAGGTAAAATTTTAATTCTAAATCTTCTTGAATTGGAGTGATATTGGTTGTTATATCATCACCTTCCATATCAACACCTACTGGTAGTTCTAAAAGTTCTGTACTATCCAGACGATGGTATGATGTTACTTCGAAAGTTAATATAACATCATGTAATTCAAGCTTATCTCCTCGATTTTCAATTTCTTGAAATAATCTAAAGTAAGTAAATCTTTTATCAAGTGGTTCATAAAAAATTCTATTATTTAAAGGTTTTATAGTCTCAAAAGTTTCGGTTGTTGCTTCGGGGTCTCTTTTTCCAATACATTTATTAATTCTTTGAGTATCGTTACAAAAGGCAACAACACAAGCTTTGGAAGGGTCAATTTTTTTAGATTCCATTTTTTTTTAAAAAATAAATTATTACATCTTTATTTATATATTTTTTTGGAGTATAATATAATTGATACAATAAAAAAAAAACTAAGTTTCATTCATCACAACAATTAGTTATTTTTTGCATTAATCTTTGCATTTCATGAGCTTGCATTTTCGGTAACCATGCTGATTCGATACTTCCATCCCCTATAAATGATGGAATTCCAGTATTTCCTGTGGCAAGATTAAGATTTTCACCTAAAGAACCAGCGGGAGCTTGTCCAGATATTTTTTTGGTTTTAAACATAAAATCGTTATAATCTAAAAACATTACAAACAAGTAATTTCCTTTTTCGAAAAATGCAGATTCCGTATCGCTTTCCTCATTTTTGAGACAAACATCCATTTTATTGAGATCCAAACATATGATTATTTCATCTGTTGTGAAGGTACATGTACTACAATTAATCACAGTTTCAGTGGAAATAATTGGTTTTATGTTGTTTTTGAATTGGATGTTTTGAAGATCGA